GAAACACAGGAATTTTGGACTAATGAAAGATGAGTTTGGAAAGAGACCAGATGTTGGAAAAGGCACCAGATGTTGGAGAGCCAGGTTAGAGAGTTTTAACTGTACCCATCACAGTTGCTGAAGACTTTTAAACATTTTTTAAAAAGCACCGCTATGAGGTTTTCAACAAGTTTTATCAGTGTTAAAGACAAAAGATGTTTCTTGTTTTAACCTTTGAGTGTCAGAAACAGCTTATGATCCAACATTAATTCCACAGTACAAGCAGTACCATTCAGCTCTAGTACTTTTGCCATTTTCAGTGGGTACGGGAAAAACAAGATGTTCAAGAAAAGAATTTACGAAGAACTTCTGACTAATAATGGAACACCATCTTTGATACAGCCTAAGTTACTTTAGTTCCCAAACACACAAATCAGCTCTACAAGGGAAGCAGAGGTGGAAGTTTTAAACACTAAAAAGTCACATTTTGAAGCCCAAATATTAAAAACCTTATGATACTTTCAGAGATAAAGTATCCCAGTTCTTGGTTTTGGTTTTCACATGAGAAATTTAAGAAAGTAATTTATTCCTCACACTCTTCCCTCACAAGAATACTAGCTTTCATTCAATCATATGGGAAAAGTTATAATTAGTGTGCTCTAAATAACCACCCATTAAAAATAAAATATCAAAAGGCATTGTTTTCCCTAATAAAGCAAACAAGAGTTGAAAGTAGATATAGAAAGGGTTAGAAGGGATACTATAAAATAACAAGATACATCAAAATAATAATAAGGCATGAAATATTAGAAGGCACAGCTCAAGAAAGAAGTTTAAAAGAAAAATAAAACCAAAACAGATTTAAAGAAAAGGCAACTTGGACACAGCACAAAGGCGAATCAACACTGCAGACAATATAATAAAGGATGTGGTGAGCAAAACAAGGAATTAAGTAAAAACTAACAAAAAATGTAAAGGGACTTCTAACACAAACATAAAATAGCATTTTGTAGAGAAAGAAGCCAGACATGGTGGCATACACCTGTAATCCCAACACTCTGGGAGGCTGAGGCAGGAAAGTTATGTTTGAGCCCAGCCTGGGCAACACAGTGGCTTATCGAGACCCTTTATCCAAAAAAAAAAAAAAAAAAAAAAAAAAAAAAAAAAACAATTAAAGCCCTGAGATAGCTCAGTGGGAAGGGCCTGGATTCCATTTCCAGTACCAGAGGAAGCAAGTAAGAGAGGGAGGGAGGGAAGGAAGGAAAAAGAGAAAGAGAAACTGAGAAAAAGAAAAGAAGGAAAAGAATGGAAAGGAAAGAAAAATTAAAATGAAAATGACTGCAAAATGCTGTCATCTGATCCATTACATAATTTTGTTCAAGTACAGAGGCCCAGATAAATATTTTTAAATATGAAAACAACAAGGGTCACAGTTTTTATGATTCCCTAGCAGACGATAAATAAGCATCAGAAAAGTTAGGCAACAATTCACCAACCTCATTTAGCTTTTGCAACACCCTCGGGTTGGGGAGTTGTTGGAATACAGTGTTGATACCAAGTACTAAAGTTCAGTGACTCCTTAATGTCACAGGCACACAACTCCTTCTTTGAATTATTTGTTTCTGTTGTTTATTTGGTTGGTTGGTTAGTTTGACTTCTGTGGCTTGGTTTGGTTCACAAAATAATAAAAGTGTAGTATGGACAAGTACTTCTAAAAGAGACTACTATTAATCTCTAGCAGATTCTTTGGGAAGAACTAGGCAGTCACTGCACTGGAGATTGTGAAGATTTATTTCTTCAGTCACCCAAACCCCAGAGGACTCTGGTCTAGTTAAAGTCTCCCTTTCTAGTTATCCTTTTACACTGCTCCTCTGATGCAGGTTTTCTTCTGGATAACAGTGAGAATGGCCAACAAATTCCATTCATGCCTGTCAATTCAGTCCCAAGCGACCCCAGCTTCTCAAAAAGTGAGTCTAGCCTGAGAAATGTTATGAAATTTTGCATTACTGATGGTCGCAGTAGCTGATGTTTTTTCTTATGCTTCAAAATTGTCTGCACCACTGAAACAAGGGCGTGTGTGTGTGTGTGTGTGTGTGTGTGTGTTGGATATATTTTATTTCTTTTCTTTGGCCTACTTCAACTAGTCAAAGAAGAAATATTTTTCTCTCCTTTTTGAGTTCACAACTTTAACACTTTTTATGCATCATTTCTTCTGGTTTATGGATTATGGTTTTAATACGGCTTAAAAGATAATTGAGAGTTTAAACGGGGCATATTGAACCTAACTAAATGCCTTGTTTTGATTGATATTGCCGTGGTCTCCAAAATGTTTTGAGCACAAAACTCTAGTAAATAGTATAAGATCTAGGCACACCCAATCAGCAATATGAATATATGTATCTATGGATTATATACACCTGTGCTACTCTATTAATATGTACATTATAAACAGAGAAACTTCTAAATTATATAACATAGAAATTTCCAAATGCATTGACAAAGATAAGTTTATCCATGGAAAATGATTTCTGGCTGTCACCACGGAGTATGAGTAGGACTTAACAAGAGCAATGACATGCAGTATAGCTTCGTTATCTGAACATCATGGCCTGCTGCACTGTGACTGAGCGATGCAAAGTTCGATTTGCTTTGGTACTTGACTGTAGCAGCTCACACAGATACCTCATCAAATTACGGTGCTCTGAATGAGAACATAATCATGACCCTGGCAGCCTCAATTTCAAATTCTACCCTTTGATAAGGAAAAAGATTAGGGGTTCGGGGGGTTTTAATTTTATTATTATTATTATTATTATTATTATTATTATTATTATTATTATTATTATTATTATTATTATTATTATTATTATTATTATTATACAATATTCCTAACTCAAATTCTGTTAAGAAACAGTCATCTTTCCTGGTATTAATTACTTGCTTTTGAAAACTTACTAAAGGTAATGAATTTGTATACTTCTAAAAGTTGTGTCCTAAAACCACAGAAACTTCGTAAGATAGTTCAGCCAGGTTAGGACATCCCATCTCCTATTTAATGAACATGAGGATGCTTAGAGTTACAATGGTAACACACATCGTTTTTAACGTAAAATCACATTTCCAAGTATCGATTAAAAATCCTCATCTTGCATCACAGGTTTCTTGTGAAAGCAGTTACTTCCTAACTCATTGTTAAGACACTTCTTCTACCTTGAAGGACTATATTTAAAGGTATATTTTTCAGAAATCTCTACAAGGGGGCCAAGGGATTTAGCTCAGTGGTTCTACTGCTTGCCTTGCAAGCGCAAGGTCCTGAGTTTGATCCCTGGTACCAAAACAAACAAAAAAACATCTTTACAAGGTAGCATCTACCAAACCTACTTAAAACCATTTACTACACATAGGCCAGCAAATTTGGGCAACTTATGTTTTTGCAAAAGAAAAGCAAGTAACAATTTTTAGTTCCTTGTGGGAAAAACAACTTCTGTGTGGTAAAAATACATTGATATCCATTATCAGTCTCATCACAAGTATATAAGAAGATGTAGACTTCTAAAAACTCACTTTTACAAAATCAACTAAGTAGTCTTGTCTTAGTAGCATTTGTATGCCTCTGGCATAAACTTCTTTGCTCTTCTTCAAGCTCAACAGCTTGCTTGTGACGCAGCAAATGCAATCCGTAGGTTCACTGCTGATGACAATGTGTGCAAGTCCTTATTCAAATAACCTGCTTGCTAATTTTTATTGAGAAGAGGTGGCTTCTGGTCAGACCTCATTAACTTATTTTTCTCCCAAATGGGAATATCTGCCAGATGTCCCTATATTCATTCTCCCTCTTCCTTCACTCTCAGAAAGCCTACAGTTTCCTATCTTCCCTACCCCTCCCCTTGCATAAACACACAGCTTTGTATCTAATGGTCAGTCACTGGGACGTACATGGGAATAATTTGTAGCTGTAAAGGGAAGGGTAAGTCTCATCTCCCTTCCTCCTAACTAGCTGGAATTCAGATCTGATGGCGGTAATTTAAACAGCCACACTGAAGCAAGGAGAAGTCAGGTGTTAAGGCAGCCAGAGCAACCAGAAATGGTGACCCTGGTTCCTTCAGGGATGTGATGCCTTCAGTCAGCTCGGAGTTACTATGTTTATATGAGAAACATTTTTTTGAGCCTCTAGTATCTGTGGCTTTCTGGTTCTCACTGGTATACTGAACCCTAGTCAAGACCTGATGGCAGCTAATGGAGAGCTCACGCAAAGTGTCAGAGAAGAGACAGCTCAGCCATTTTCTCACTCCTGTAGGTGCTCACACTGTCAGTATTAACTGCAGCCTGCCCAGGGCTGGGTGTAACTCAAGTTGGTTGTAAGTCAATACAGCTGAGATCTGGATGTTTAACTGGGTACACACTATAGATAACAAAACGCAGATGAATCTTCCATTAACATAATTAACCCAAGTTGTTCGTATGTTAGGTCAGTTGTAACTTGCGGGTCCACTGTACTGTTAAGCCACTTGTCTATCTTCTCTGGATTAGGTCTTAAGAGCTACAAAATATAAACTCGGGTGTGTATGAACTACAACCTGTGTCAACAGCCTCTGAGAAAGCAAGTGAGCAGCCATGCACCACTGGGCACTGCCAGCTTTTCTCCCAGGCTACCTAAAAACCATGTACAACCTGAGTCTAACAAACACAGACCATGGGAGAAGAGTAGTATCCACATTAAAAAATGAACAGAGCTTCATTTTTTGGTTGATATATAAACATACAAAGTCCTGCTCCTTTCCTGCCACTACCAACAAGTGTTTTTATGCATCTTCCTGGAGTGCAAGTACACACCCACCTCAGCACCCACTGGACTACAGTTAACTGAAGATTTCTGTCCCAGATCATGGCGCTATTCTGTAAGGTGGAAATGTCCACAAAGGAAAAATCAGCGCAAGTAAGAGTCCTCCATAAAACTGAAAAATTGTGAAAGCAAATAGTAAATCAGAGAGTGGATGGATACAAAGAGTTTGGCGCCTTACCTGAAGACCTCAAGAACAGTCCTTTCTGGTAATCTGGGAGCCACCTGCCTGAATGCTTTTTTGAAATCTTCTAAAGTTAAATAGCCACGATCTATTTGAAAACAAAATACGAAACTTTCACTTTCTTCTATAAACTCCATGAACTATTATTTCACCTGTAAGATCTGTATAAAACTCTATTTTAATATTTTAGGAGAAAAGCAGTAATTTACAGTTGATTTTATACATAACGTGATCTGATATTGTCTTATCGGGGGAACTTAAGAACCCAGTAAGAGTCTCCCCTACAGTGCAGTTGTAGATCACCCTGAAAGTCACTGCCAGCCCTGCCATCTTGTTGATTCTCTGTCCTTGGCAAAGACATGACTGTAACACGCCTCTGAACGTCACGTCTTTGTGAACTGCCACAATATTTCAGTCTTCAACATTCCACTTTTTTCCTGCTTGATATTAGAATTGTGATCTATTACTTAGGGGGCAAATACAGTAGCGGTGAAGATACGGGACCCAGAATCGCAGGTCTTTTCATCCTGTGTGGGTTAGGGCCCCGCAGCCACTCTTCTTCACCACATCTAGTGCGGGAAAATAACTTCTCCAAACATATGTTGGCCAGAGGAGGAGCTGAATGAGAAGGCTGTGTACTTCCACGGGTGGCTTGTGGCCTCTGTCCCCTCAAGTCCAGTCTTTCTGCTGTCATCACTACAGTCTAGGTACAACATGTAAGTACAGGAGCATAGCATATGAGTACACTTATAATTGTCACTATTTCCTCCACAGTATACAAGAATGTAAGATCACAATGGAGGAAAAAAACACAACACCTAAGGCAATAGCTAAAGAATACAGTAAAACAATCCCCCGAGTATATTACATATTTACATTCCCTTTCGCAATTCCTTAGTGATTTTTATATCACACTTTAAACATTTTAAAGATACTTACAGTGCACATCAAAAGCTGTGAAGATCTGTCTTATCTCATTTCGATATAGTTGAGCCTCCTTCTTTTTCCTTATGATATTTAAAAACTCCCCAAGTACTATGCCTAAAAATTGGAGGGAAAAAAAAAAACAAAGATAACTATCTTCCTCTTTAAGGAAAAAGAAAGACACGAACAGCGATAAATATCACAAATAATCAAATTTTGCCTCAATTTCAGGAAATCAGATTTCCCACATTGTAGGTTGTCTCTTAGTTCTGTTGGTGGTTTCTTTTGCAGTGCAGAAGCTTTTCAATAAGATGAGACCTCAGTTGTTGATTCTTTGTGCTAGTTCCTGTGCTACTGAGGATTTGTTCATAAGACAAAATGACATTTTACTCTGTTCGAAGTAAACCCAACCCTCCCAATCTAGAGTGGAAACAACAGACACCCTTTGGTTTCACTGAGCTTTTTGACAAAGATAACTATCTTCCTCTTTAAGGAAAAAGAAAGACACAAACAGCGATAAATATCACAAATAATCAAATTTTGCCTCAATTTCAGGAAATCAGATTTCCCACATTGTAGGTTGTCTCTTAGTTCTGTTGGTGGTTTCTTTTGCAGTGCAGAAGCTTTTCAATAAGATGAGACCTCAGTTGTTGATTCTTTGTGCTAGTTCCTGTGCTACTGAGGATTTGTTCATAAGACAAAATGACATTTTACTCTGTTCGAAGTAAACCCAACCCTCCCAATCTAGAGTGGAAACAACAGACACCCTTTGGTTTCACTGAGCTTTTTGAAGGGCTAAAGGAATGATGACCTTAAAAACGTTTGACACTCTTCCCTAATAGATCTGACAGACTCAAAACTACTTATTAAACAAGTCTCATAGTTTTCTTTCCTTAGGCTTCTTTGATTCCCCTTTTCCAAGCCAGATGTCATTTTAGCAGGTTTTTTTCCAACTGGGAGATGGGGTCAGAGAAGTAGTTTCTCAAAAGTCAATACCCATTGTACACCACAGATAAAGGTGGAGAGAATATTACATAAACAATAGAGCTGGCACCATCCCCAGCCCTGGATATACCTCACAATGTGTTCAGCAGCCTCCGGCTCAGCTTCCTGCGACTTTCATAATAAAAGAGCCCAGCATGAAGATATGAGATTGGATACTGTGCTTACAGTGTCTATTAAAATGAATTCTAATGTGATCTTTGTAGTAGGTTTAAGGAGCCGAGCCAAGAATTTAAGCATTTTAGTGAATTGAGCCCTAACTATGTAAAAAGACTAGTCATTTTTAAAATACAGAATTTCCATTAAAAAGTTATCGCTGTTTAAAAAGACCCAAATCATGTAATAATCACATGCAACATTTCTTTGGATGAGAGAACTAATATTTAGCTATATACCTTTCCTAAAACAGTTTCAGTAGCTTGAAAAATGTAGAAACAATGTTCTTAACCTCCCATGTTTTTCTCAAAGATTTATAACTTTAAAAAAATCAACCTAGCTTTCTGTCTTTAAGTGACTCTTCTGCAATTTTTGTAACCTACTGGGTACCAGGTACTATTAAGTTTTGGAAATAGAGGGGGGAAAGAACAGATAAACTTCCAGTTACAAAGTACATGCTGAGCTAGAGAGGAAGAAAGTTAACATGCAGGCTCAACTGCAGACGCACACACGATTACAAACTGCGGCACGTGCAGTGAGAGACGCATGGGAGGCCAGCTGGAAAAGAGAGATGTGGGAATCTTGGAGCACAGACTCTGGCAAATGAGCAAGCACTCACAGGAAATATAAAAGCTAAGACCCAAACCATGAAATGATACCACTTGGCTACAGGATGGGAAAAGGAGCCATTCAGACAGCGGAAACAGCCTGTGCGGAGACCATGGGGTGAGAAAATGGGAAAATGAACAGAGGCCAGAAAGGAGCACAGGCCTTTGTGAGCTGCAATAAATAATTTCAGTTTTATTTGCATTGCAAGAGAAAGTCAATACAACGTTTGAATTGAGGAATGATAAGATTTGATCTAATTTATTTTTCTCACTGAGTTTATTGGTACATTTTAGGTATACAGTACAGTTACAGTCATCATTGGGATCTTGTACCTTTACATGACAGGTCTTGGTTCTCATTTTTTCCCCATATCCCTGCCCTCCCTTCACCCCCTCCTCCCTTCCCTATTTACAAATACTTTATTTCCATTTTTTCATTTTCTTATTTTTTTTCTTTTCCCTTATTTCCTTTCCCCTACCCCTCCCACTTCCCCTACACCTTTAGCCCTTTTCTTCCTATTTCACATTGTTAATTATACCATTAGGATCTTATGTACAATTATAGTTTTTTCACACCAGAGAAACTATTTGGTATTTACACATGTGTGACTTATTTCACTTAAGAGTATATCCTCAATATGCATCCATTTTCCTATGAATGAATCTAATATCTCATTCTTTATGGCTGAGTAGTATTCCATTTTATAGAAAAACCACATCTTCTTTATCCAGTCTCCAACTGATGGGCAAATGGGCTGTTTCCAAGTTTTAGCTATTACAAACTGTGCCACTATAAACATGGATGCTCATATAACACTGTGATACGATTCTTTTGGAAAGATACCCAGCAGAGGGATGGCTGGGTTAAATGGGACTTCTAATCCTAGTTCTTTGAGGTAACTTCATATTGATTTCCATAGTGGTTGCACCAATCTGCCCTCCCACCAACAGTGGAGAAGGGTCCCTTTTTCCCCACAACCCCACCAACATTTTTTATTGGTTGATTTCCTGATAGCAGCCATTCTTTGTGGGGTGAGGTGGAATCTCAGTGTTGTTTTCATCTGTATCTCTCCAATGACCAGTGATGTGGAACATTTTTTCATATATTTACTTGATGCTTTTACTTATTTGTCTGAGAAATGTCTGTTCATTTCAGATGCCCATTTCTGAATCGGGTCTTTATATTTGGGGGTACTGATTGTTTTGAGTTCTTTATATATTCTAGATAATAGTCCTTTATCTGAGGAGCAGCTGGAAAAATTTTTTCCCACATTGTAGGTTGTCTCTTAGTTCTGTTGATGGTTTCTTTTGCAGTGCAGCTTTTAAATAAGATGAGATCCCAGTTATTGATTCTTTGTGCTAGTTCCTGTGCTACTGAGGATTTTTTCATAATTGATCTATTTTTAGGAAGATCTTTCAGGCTATTGTCAGATACTGATTGTTTTGAGTTCTTTATATATTCTAGATAATAGTCCTTTATCTGAGGAGCAGCTGGAAAAATTTTTTCCCACATTGTAGGTTGTCTCTTAGTTCTGTTGATGGTTTCTTTTGCAGTGCAGCTTTTAAATAAGATGAGATCCCAGTTATTGATTCTTTGTGCTAGTTCCTGTGCTACTGAGGATTTTTTCATACCCCTCCCATTTTTAGGAAGATCTTTCAGGCTATTGTCAGCTATTGTCTTGAAAAAAGGTTTGGGGAGAAAAAGTAAAAATGTGAAAAGGGAGAGCAGTTAGGAGCCTCCTGGCAAGGGTGTAGCTGCTTGGGGACTGGCAGTGGCAGTGAGAGGAGTAAAGCCACCCAGATACACTTGAGAAAAGGAATGACACTGTGGGACCTAAATTACAAACCCTTGCTAAATGGCAAAGGGCCTAGGAGACAGTGTCCTGAACCCCTCCCATTGTAGCCACAGCCCCGACCTTTGTTCCAGCCCTGGCCTAAGAATGTGGATCACTCTTGTATTGTTTGAAGTCCAGATCTGAATCTACCTGTAAATTAGAGACTCCAGACATAGAGGCCCAAGTTAATTGACAAACTGTTTGCTCATCCGGAGGGTCTTGGTGACCTTTGAGACATCCTATAGGTGGTACCTGTTACTCATCAATATGTGACTGCTGACCACCAGCTCAAGTCAGCAGACCTTTGTCCCCTGTCTGTGAGCCCAAAATGTTAACCCCCTCCTTTTACTCCCTATAAGAGGACCTCGGCCCCTGAGCTAGGCGCCTCTCTGAGCCAGCCACTTGGTTCTGAGAGTGCCGTCTGGCCAGATTAATAAAGGTCTTTTACCATCTAGCCTGGTGTGTTCCTTCCTGGGTTTCTCCTTCTCCGTCGAGCTCCCGGAGCCTCACTGGGTGTTGGGCCCAGCATTGTGGAGGCCTTTTTGGCTGTTCACGCTCCGTGGAGTGGAAGTGAGACTTTAGGTCTTACAACACGACTTGAGGAGCAACTGCACGTGGCAGAATGTTAAGAATAACCCACCAACTGTGGGTTGAGAACCTGGTGGGCTGAGGAGTCGTTTAAGGATGTGGAAAAGATGAGAACAGAATAGGGGATGAAATAAAGAGTTGTGATTTGGATGTGTTAAACATTCAGTGATCTGGAGACAACTAACAGTGTGACTAGCAGTGCAAAACGGAACTTTATTATTATTATTATATATATTTTTGGTACCGGGGATCGAATTTGGGTCCTTGCGCTTGCAAGAAAGGTGGCGGAACCATTGAGCCAAATCCCCGGCCCGCAAAATGGCGCTTTAAAAGTTTTAAACTTTAAAAGCTTTTTCTTTACAGATAAGTGGTTTCTCCAAACTTCCACAGGCCTAGGGCATAAGCTGCCACGCCCTCTTCTCCTCAGCTCAGATAAATGGACAGAATATGCAATGGCACCTGGAGATCAGGGTCAAGCCACCTTTCCACATGGACTGGAGGGATCTGAGGGAACTCGAGGTCCCTCTATCTTCTAAGAGCTTTCTCTGAAGAAAGCCTCTCTCTTTTTCACCATGACTCCCTTGTTTGTTTGGAAGTAGTGAGTAAAGGGACCTAAGCATAGGGAGTCAAGTGGTTTGTAACAAAAGGAAAAAGTCAAGAAGGCAACTGCTTATCCCTCTGGGCAAGAAAGCATATCTTCCAGCAGCCAGCAGAGCGTCAGATGGGCATTCAATAAATGTGCTCATCCCTTAGTATCTGCAGGCATTGTTCCAAGACCCCCAGGAAACTAAAAGCTAAGAAATTTAAGTTCCTTGTTTAAAAATGGTGTAATATTTGCACATAATCTACACACATCCTCCCATATATTCTAAGTCATCTCTATATTACTTAGGATAGTTAATACAATGCAAGCACCACATAAATAGTT